GAATGGCGGGGGGTCGCTGCAGGGCCTGTTGTGGCGGGAGCGCTGAGGAGAACCAGGAGCCCCGGAGTAGGGAGGCCCGCCAAAAAGCCCATCGCTGGAGGCCACGAAGGGGGAAAAGTGTGGGGGAGCCTTTTTTCCCCCGCGTTTCCAGGCTTTGGAGGGTGCGAGGAGCAATTGGAAGAAGACAGTTTATTGTTTCTCAGTATTGGCGGGTCCCCCGCCCGAATCAGAGAATTGCTAAGCAGGGATTATACTGCAGGATTATGGGGGGCTGGGGTTTTTACCATCTCGATTTCTGCAATCTGCGTGTTGGGTGACTAGTACCGTGTACTTTGCCTGCTCTCCCATATTTATTGTTGAAGGTGACTTTTGTCCCAGCCACGGCAGGTCTTAACTGCTCTTCTATTCCCTTTTCTGTCCCTTGTCCACATTTGGTCTGCACCCTTTCGCTTCTCTTCTTCTCCTTTCCCTGCACGCCAGTCTTTGCTCTTTTTTGCTGCTTCATGTTTTAAATTCTTCACCCCTTCTCAGGCTAGAGGTGCATCTGCGATAGCTTTTTTCCAGGCTGGGGAAAACTGTTATAGTGGCGCTTCATTCCCTTGTTCTCTCCCCTGGCAGTGCTGGAGGGAGGAACAGAAGAATATCCTGTTGCTTACCACGCGCAAGAAGAGTGGCTAAGCCTCTTCTGCTGCTCTCCTTCATGTCTTTGAGAATCTTTTGTCCATTGAGGAGAGCTGTAGAGAACTCGGCAGCTTTCCTGCACAGATCCCGCCTTGGCAGGCACTAATCAGGCATTTTGTTTGCAGCAAAGCGTCCGCTTCTGCAATTTGGAAGAGGCATAGCACTTGTTGTGCCGTTGCTGGCTTTAGCTACAAACAGGCTACTGTCACTCATAAACAATTGCAAGATTTGACGGCATGGGCTGCTCTTTTCTGGAAACAGAAATGAAGTCATGGGGACAGTGAAATGTACCAGGCACTTGCTAAAAGGACTGGACTTTCAAACAGGCCAGTGCAAATAAATGGTGTAGAAAGTTGCAGAATGCATGGAGCTGTGGGAAAATACACTAGAGTATCTTCTCAGTCTTCTAAATAACCTTTAAATAGTATTCCTTGTAAAATAATTGTGAAATAACCACAAATTTTAATTCTCTAGCTCTCTGCTATGCCAAAAATAATATCACTGTTGTGAATTTTAAAGCCTTTGTGGGGAAAAAAAAAAAAGTGTAGATCACCAACATCTACACTTTGAGATGGTTTCTCAAACATCTTGTCCAAAATGTTACTTCAGGAGCTGTCATAGACCTGGTATTGGTGCAGGGACTGCTGTATTTTGGTCTTGTTTTCGTGTGTAGGGTTGAAATGCAAGAATAAAGAACGAAAAGATAATAGACAAGAAGAGGACAAAAAAAAGTCCTGGCGGAACCGGAAGGTCTAGAAAGTGGTACAGTGTTTGTGTGCTGAATGGAATGATGAGGATTGGCAGAGACAATTAGAAAAGCTGGCAGCAAATTATAGTGAAGGTCTGCGTTGATTAGTGGGAAGGTGCTAACTGGGATGAAGCTGGGGTTGGACTTGGTAACCCGATGCAGTTCAGTTTGTTTAACACCCCCTTCCCCTCCCACACCATTTCGGAATTTCAGAATGGTCCTGGACATCACTTCGATGGGCATAAATTTAAAATGTTTTGAGTATGGGCAGTAGTGTTGCTGGATATCGTCTGTTCAGTTGGCCACAACCTGAACTATAAATAATCCTTTTTATTTGTTTCCTGGTTTGACGTTTGTTTTGCTGGTGCTATGCTGTATACTGTGGGATTACTTGAAGGACCGGCTTGCAGTAAATGTTCTTCAATAAATGCTGTACAACTCCATCTCTGTGGTATAATTAAACCGATTTGCACTCAGATTATTTAGGAGAGCAGTTGAGATAAGAATGATCCAACCTAAATGGTGTGTGACTCAAGCACAGTTCTTCAGTGTGCTTAGGGAAGTGAGGCTGTCATGTTTGTGGTGTAGTGTCAATGTGAATTATGGACACTTAATAATATTTTTAGTTATTTCTTTGCAAATTCGTTAGAAAGGTATCCTGTTGCAGTAGATCGGGGTTTGAACAATGTCATCAAGATACATACGAGGAGATAAGGTGATAGGAAAGATGAGCAATGGGTGGCAGCCTTCACTGGTACTCTTCCAAGAGGTGTCTTCAGGAAAGACCGGCACTTTTGCCAGACGAGTTCTAACATTTTCCTGGCAGGCGTAAAGTTTCTGTCTGAAACTTTGTACTAAGCCTGCAGACTTCAGGAAGCTACTGTAATTTGAGATGCGTCATATTTTTATTGTGTTGCTGTGTTAACTCTGAAACCCGAGAGTGATGATGTGATGTCATCTTTAATTTTCACGGTGTTGAAAATCATATGGTATGCTAGAAAGCAGGGCTGTTTTGTAGTGTTGCCTGTCATCGTTTATTTGGCATGTTGGTGGCTGGAACAGTATGCAGCACAGAGAGAACATCACTCCCGTGTTCCTTTTTCAGTCCAGCTTTGTAGTGAAGGGCCAGTTTACGATTTTCCAGTGTTGTTCTTACCTTCGTGAATATTCTTTATCCTAGGGAAGTGAAATATGTTAACTTGGTTACTTTTATTTTCTCTTTTCCAGCTAGTGGAAGTGTTAAAGACACCTTTGTTGGAGCCAGAAATGGACAATACAGGCTTTTAAAAATAGTCATTGACAATGGTTAGTCTAATTTAAATCTTTTTCCCTGATTCTTTTAGATATTTTCCTAGTTGTTTTAGTGACCTACATGTACAATTGTTTAAAAAGCAAAACTGCAAAACTTAATGTCACTAAGGTCTCTCATATACAGCAGGTAAGATTTAAGTTTTGGTGTTGCTAAGCTTTTCAGTACAATGCTACTGTATTTTTGCATTTGAATTTTTCTTCCAAATGTCATCTCATACTTTACCAAGAATTGCTGTGTATTTAATATGGATAATATAAATGAGCTTACGCTTATCTTACTGAAAAAAAAAAAAATAGAGGAAAAAAAATTCCACACCTGTGTGGTGTTTTGGCACTTTGATTACTTTCATTAGACACAGAGATTCTTACACAGCAGCTAGTCACTTTAGATGAAGTATAAATGTTATCTGCCTTTTATACTGGGATCAGCTGCATGTAGAAAGTCCTATCAAAGCAGATGCTTTAGTAACCTGGCTACACAGACAATGTCTTTAAAAATCTGTAACTTTGTACAAATTTTCAAAGCTAAACCCATTCCTTAAATCTCATGTATAGGTATAAATATAAAATTATGTAATTTCTTGTGGAACTTAAGTTTGGTCTTTGAACTTCTTGGCAAGTGATCAAGGCTGCAAACATTGCAAGATAGAATGCATCATTGTTTTGGGTTTTTTTTTTTAATAGCAATGATGGTTAACTGTATAAGACACTTCATGGTTCAGTCCATCTTTTCAAGTATGTCAAATGTCCACCTTGGGTTTTTTGTTCTTTTTAGATTTCATTCGTTTACAGTACACTGAAATTCCTGTTAGCTGGAAAAAGGTATATGTATGTACATGTTTATACACATACATACTTTTATTGTTAGGTAAATAACCTACTGTTAACTTCTTTGTGTTTGCTTTCCTTAGGAAGCCTTCTGACATTTTAATATTGCTTTCCTTAAGGAAGTGACAGTAGTAATATTATAGGCGGGTCACTGTGGTAAATTCTCACTACAACAAGGTAGCAAATGCTGGCATACCATTGATTTTTTTTTTTTTTTCCCCCATTAGGCAAGGTAAAACAATATGCTTTTGTGTGTATGCTACTTTTTAATACAAAATGAAGCCTAGAAATAAGATACAAATGGAAGACATTCCCTGGGCTTTTTTTTTTTTTTGTGTGTGTGTGTGTATATGCATTTTGTCTGTATGTAGAAGCAGAATCCAGTCTTTGATACTGTTCTCCACGGTTCAGAAAGAAACCTCTGAAATTCACAGAATACTGGAAGAGAGACAGTTGCCTCATCTGTCTGCAGGAGCTTTCAGCAACTGTCCTTAGCCACAGATAATAGTCAAACTGGGTTCTGCTAATCTGAGTTAGTAAGAGAAGTTTGCTGCTGGGCAATAGAGTTCCACTGATTGTATTTTCCTGTCCTAAATCCAAATGAGTGTAAAGCCACCTAGAGTTCAGAACTGGCAAGTACCTTCTGAACTAGGTGTACAACTTCAGCTACTTTGCATCTAATTCAGAGAAGGGCCAAACACCCTCTCTCTGAGATGTTCATGTTCTGTGACTTACTGTGGTAGAGTGCCTTGCTCTGGAAGTTTTGCTGTAGAGGCATTTGTATGGTGTACTTTTGTCTGAAGTTGCAGCAGTTAGGTCCTAGACTCTTCAAAAGATATTTTGTATACTAGCTACTATGATGATCCTCAAACTGTTCCAGGATCCCAAGGTATTTCTGTTTTGGTTGTGGGGGCTAGTATTTATTGCGAAGCTGATAAATGTTTTGAAAGACACTACACAGGTTGCCCAGAGAGGTGGTGGAGGCCCCATCCCTGGAAACATTCAAGGCCAGGTTGGACGGGGCTCTGAGCAGCCTGATCTAGTTAGCGGTGTCCCTGCTCCTGCCAGGGGGTTGGACTAGATGACCTCTAGGGGTCCCTTCCAACCCAAAACATTCTATGATTCTATGATTCTATGATGATTCAGAGTAGGCCACAAAAATGATCCGAGGGCTGGAGCACCTCTCCTGTGAGGACAGGCTGAGAGAGTTGGGCTTGTTCAGCCTGGAGAAGAGAAGGCTGCAGGGAGACCTTATTGCAGCCTTTCTGTACTTACAGGGGGCCTATGAGAAAGTCAGGGACAGACTTTTTAGCAGGGCCTGATGTGATAGGACAAGGGGTAATGATTTTAAACTAAAAGAGGGTAGATTCAGACGAGATTTAAGGAAGACTGTTTGTTTTTTTTTTTTACAATGAGGGTGGTGAAACGCTGGAACAGGTAGCCCAGATAGGTGGTAGATGCCTTGTCCTTGGAAATATTCAAGGTCAGGTTGGATGAGGCTCTGAGCAACCTGATCCAGTTGAAGATGTCCCAGCTCACTGCAGGGGGATGGACTAGATGACCTTTAAAGGTCCCTTCCAACCCAAACCATTCTATGATTCTGTACTAACACTTTCCTCTGGAAGCTGGGATGTAATTCATAAATAAGAGAAAAATCTTGTTGCTACAGCTGTTCACATAACTAAATCTCATCTGAAGTCTTCTATACAGACTTAAGCCAATTATACATAATAAACAACTTCAGTCATTTAAAGACACCACAGTTATGAAGCTGTATTAGAAAGAGGTTTATCTACTTACATAGTTGAGTTAAAGTAATTAGTAATAGCATATTCATTTGAAGCTCTTTTCTCTATATAACTGAGTTATTGACTCCTTACAATGAGTACAAACACTAATATGTTATAGCGAGAGCATCAATAATTCTAATGCTAAAATTTAAAAGCTTACTCTCCTCTTGTTTCTAAATAAGTATTCCAATTTAAAAATAAACTAACTGACAGAAGACAGTTTTTATTTCCATTCTGTGTACATTATGCTAAAAAAACTAGCATCAATCTTACCCCTTCAGATCAACGAAGTTGATGACAACCAGCACATTACTTCTCAACTATTTGTATTTGGGTTAAAGTAAGTTAGGGTTTGAACATACACAGCTTTTGTAGGAATTCATCCACTTTCACATGGACTGTTCTTGACTTCCATTCTTGTGGACATAATTATGAAAGATGAAGTGTTTGATTAGCTGTTTATGGTAATTGCTAATTTTGAAAAACAGTATTAACTGTATTGTTGCTAACCTGTAGCTTTGGTTATTGGTTATAGAGCAGCTTATTGTGGGATCCTCGAGGCAGCCAGCTGGATCATGGGAAAAGGATTATGATGCCTTTGTCCTTCCCCTTCTTGAAGACAAGCAACCATGTTATATATTATACAGATTAGATTCTCAGAATGCTCAAGGATATGAATGGATCTTCATTGCATGGTCACCTGATCACTCTCCTGTAAGTAACAGTCATCACTTCATGCTGTTAATGATTTTTCAACAGTGCCGTTCAACCTGAATCCTAGACACGAAGGAAAAGAATTTGAGGAATGACGCATTTCCCAACCTTCCCCTCACTTTCCCCCAAGAAAACTGGGAAACTATCTTACTTGAAGCTGGTTGAGGCGCAATATCAGTGGGTCTAGATGGAGTGCAGCTGATCCAATTTATTTCTAGCCTGACTGGAGGAGACAGGATAATGGTTTTGCCCTGTTTGTTTGTCTGTCTTTCTGTCAGTGTTTAATGAAAATTCATGGGAGGATATAGGACAGAAATCTCAATGGGTATTATGAGAGAGAGAAGGATTATAGTGTGAGCTCAAGCTGTTTATTCTGTTTGGCTTGCGGGCTGCCCAGCTGGCACTCGTGGATCTGTGACCTGCCACAGAATATATTGTTTCTTAGTCAGTAGTTAAAGAACATGAGAGGGAACTGAGGTTAGAGTTAAGGATTTCTAGGAGAAATTGGGATACTGTGTACAGGTTCTGGGAATGTGAAATAAGGGAAGACAGAAAGTAAAGCTATTCCCATATTCCTGCTACTTTCTCTTAGGAAATAGGCAGAGACCAAGAGTTAGAGTGCATAGAAGAGATTATGTGGAAAAAGTGAGGATGGCATGATGGTGAAGTAAGGTGGGAAGATGGGACTGCTGAGAGAGGAATAAGTGACTACATTAGATAGAAGTTGATAGGGAGCAAACATTAGATCTTCTGCCTCTAGGAAATTTCATTTCTCCACTCCGTAGTTGAACCAAAGCTACCTGGAGTGACTATCCAGATAATGAGTTATTTGCAGTCTGCTCTTTCTCTATCTGTTTTATCTATTAGTACACAGACCAGTGACAAAAGATCTAAACAGTTTTAGGTTTTCTCATTTAAAATTAGTAAAAATTATGTTGACTTTTTTTTTTTCCATTAAAAAAAAGCTCATACTCTTACTAAAGCTGCAATTTAGTTTTGGAATTACTTTGATAATAATGCATAGTATTATGCCCTTGAGAATTTAATAGCATGTGTTAGTATCGTGATCCAGAGCTCGTTCTGTGGAGTTTATTAAGAATCGCAACTTCAAAATGCAGTTTCAACACTTAAAATATTTGTTCAAGAAAGATGTTTGTTAATGGATGTAGTACACCAACATGCTAGATTCTCTGTGTACACCACAGGAAAAAAAATAACCCAAACCAAAACAACACTGTTTTATGATATGCTAGGTTCGTCAAAAAATGTTGTATGCAGCAACTCGAGCAACACTTAAGAAAGAATTTGGAGGTGGTCATATTAAGGATGAAGTGTTTGGAACCGTACAGGTATGTTTTTCATTTTAAAGTCAGCACATTGATTTTAAGTACTAAATATAGTAAATGATGTTACTGGTATGAATTTGCAGTGTTTCTGCTCTTTTTTGATTAAGGAAAAAAGAGTTAAAAGCTATGTGTATTATTCCAATGTTAAACTGTAATTGCTCTCATTTAAACAAGTAGCTAAGTATATTTAACAATTTAAGGGTAAGAAATCCTTGTTTCAAATGGCTATGAAAACTAAATAATCTAGGAATAATAGTAGCATCTATTAATCTCACTGCATGCATGTGTATCCTCAAAAAGCTGTGATGCTGTAACTTTCAGGCCAATTTGGATGTATGGTTCTGAATCAGAAGTGGGCTAGAACAGCAAGCCATTAACATCTGAAAACAAATGTTTTTATCTCAAACCAAGGATATTAAGCTGTAAGTTATTTAGAATTTGATGATAAAATGTAACTCAAGTCCATGGCTACCATCTTAACTTATGGAAACAGAATTTTAGTAGCTACTAATTTGTTCAATGAAAATACTCATAGTTGACTGTTCAGTTATGGTAAGATAATTGGAAAGTGCATGTATGAGATCCAACAAACTTCTGAGGAATGTTGAGAAGCCTGCAAGTGCTGTGTATGTAATGAAATATGAAGCTATTGTATTACCTTGGTTTCTTTGGGAAATAAGTCTTACATGGTTATGTTGTCAGCCTGTTTGTCAGACAGACATCAGATGGTCTTGGCTTTTTAATCCATTGCCAGTTTTGAAGGAATACAAGTTAGAGTTCTTAAAGATATGGAATTCCTATATCTTTCATGAAAAATTATGATTACTTAGAGATCCAAATTATCATTCCCCTTTTCCTCCTTCAGCAAATACAGAGTACAACAGTTATCTTCTGTTTGGCCTGTTAATTAGTACATCATATGCGCAAATCTGAACCAAAGCATTGCCACTGTTTACACAGGGAGCTGATGCTGAAAGAGGGGAAGGACTTGAAGATTTGGGGAAGAATAGAGGATATTGTAGTGGGGAAAATACTGTGGAAGAGACATAGGACTTGTCTGTCCACCACAAAAAGCCCAAGGACACGAGGCTAATAATTCTGCTGCTCACAGAGTAAAAAATTTTTTATATGCAGCATTAACCTGTGATGGAGGCTTCATTATCTTAACAAACAAAGAAACCTCTCTGGAGGGGCTGTATTCTAGAGAAGCAGGTAAGAGAGTGGCTAAGAGGGTTTATTGGTAGAGGCTGGATCAGTGGGCCGAGGCCAACTGTATGAGGTTCAACAAGGCCAAGTGCCGGGTCCTGCACTTGGGTCACAACAACCCCATGCAGCGCTACAGGCTCGGGGAAGAGTGGCTGGAAAGCTGCCTGGTGGAAAAGGACCTGGGGGTACTGGTTGACAGCCGGCTGAATATGAGCCAGCAGTGTGCCCAGGTGGCCAAGAAGGCCAATGGCATCCTGGCCTGTATCAGGAATAGCGTAACCAGCAGGAGTAGGGAAGTGATAGTGCCCCTGTACTCGGTGCTGGTGAGGCCGCACCTTGAATACTGTGTTCAGTTTTGGGCCCCTCACTACAAGAAAGATATTGTGTTGCTGGAACATGTCCAGAGGAGAGCAACCAAGCTGGTGAGGGGTCTGGAACACAACTCATACAAGGAGCGGCTGAGGGAACTGGGGTTATTTAGTCTGAAGAGGAGGCTGAGGGGTGACCTGATCGCCCTCTACAGCTACCTGAAGGGAGGCTGTAGGGAGGTGGGGGTCGGCCTCTTCTCCCTGGTAACAGATGATAGGACAAGGGGGAATGGTTTGAAGCTGCGCCAGGGCAGGTTTAGGCTAGACATTAGGAAAAACTTCTTCACCGAAAGGGTTGTCAGGCTCTGGAATGGGCTGCCCAGGGAGGTGGTAGAGTCCTCATCCCTGGAGGTATTTAAAAGAATGATAGATGAGGTGCTTAGGGACATGGTTTAGTGGTGGGATGGCAGGGTTAGGTTAAAGGTTGGACTCGATGATCTCAAAGGTCTTTTCCAACCAAAGTGATTCTATGATTCTATGTGATATTTTTTCTTGCCCGTTCAATCAACTAATCTCTCACTGCCACTTGCACCAACCCATTAGCAGTCTATGTAATATGTAGAATTTGGCCTGAGTTGTAGGGCTGGATGGAAGTCTGAGCTTCCATTTCAGTTGTAAGGAAGGAACGTTGCATTTGTCTATTACTGTTATTTCAGAATTTGTTTCGGGCACTTAGAGGATGAAGCCTTTTCTGAAAAGTTTTTTCTAAGTTTATTACATTACACCTTAATATATCTCTAAATTGTTGGGTTTAGTGTCTTTATAAGCTTCTTAATTGTAGCTGGCCTCTAATGTTCATCTGTGTGAAAATCACAGCTTCTTCAAAGTGTTCAAGTCACAAACCTCACTCAGAATCTTGATCATCAACATCCAGTGGGTTAGTCTGTCTTTATTTTGTTAGACACGATGATGGTTTAGTTGCAACCAGCTCTGTTATTCTGGTGGAACCTGCTTGTGGTCCCACCTGCTACTTCACATGTATTAACCTCAATACCTCTGGGCTCCTGAAACAAGACCTAATGGAATATTGGCACTGGAAATTATATTTGAGAAGTTCTGCCTCTTTCAGAAAGGGAAGAGCTAAGTAGGAGCTTTCTATTTCTCCTCAGAACTTGAGTATAAAATCACATTCATATGATTGCATGAAGTCCTGCCCTTTTCTGAGTGACCACCTTAACTATAAAAACATAACAGTATCTGGTGTCAACCTCTTTGGAGAGGGGCAGAACTGACACTGAGTATTAATGAATTCCCCAAAGTGGTTATCAGAATTCATCACTTCTGTGATGTTGTATCCTAAACTATTTGCAGTATCATGTGCTTACTCCCTGTCCTAAAGTAGCATTTCTGTCTCCTATGTTTAGGTAGAAAACTACCAATAAGCACTGGTCTGAGCATGTGAATTTTATAAGAAATTAGATTATTGTAACTATTATTATTATTGTTGTTGTTGTTGTTGTTGTTGTTGTTATTATTTATTAGAATTGTGGCAATTCTGTGAGGTTTTGTCCAAGAAGGCTGAATAACTTCATGCCCACAGTCTCCATTATGCTAATATTTGAATTAGCAAGGTAATTAGGGACTGCTTGTGGAAATGCTGCTCACGGTACAATTGGGTACAAGAGCAGCCCAGTGGACCCTGCTGTACAGGAAGATAAGATGAATTTGCAAATGCACCTACACTTGTAATCCATTCAAATAAAATGACCATAACTGTATGGGAAATAACTGCTTTTTTCATGCTGCATAGAGCATCTTTGAAAAAAACTTTGTTATCAAAAATGATCAATATTGATATTGTGTTTTCAGGATGATGTTTCGCTGAACGGGTATAAAAAATATTTGATATCACAGTCTTCCCCTGCACCTCTGACTGCAGCAGAAGAGGAACTTCGACAAATTAAGATTAATGAGGTACCTACAATGTCTTTAAGTATGGGTGGGA